GATGTTCTATATTGTAAATTGGACATTACCCGTGTAAATATTAATAATTAAATTAATTATGTCCAGCTACAACCGTCTACGGGTTTCTCGCTTCTCATACTATGTTCGATATTTTCAAAAAATCTAAACGTTAAAGCCTCCTGCCCTTGAGATTTACYCTATGATTGACGCGAGTGAAGAAGTTCTCTCGCGGAATTAGTGATATTATTATTATTGTTATAAGGTCTAGTCAAATATCGTTTTATTTTTATTTTTATAAATACATCTAATAACATTAATTACCGGAACTGCAGGTTAAAAATGCAACGTTTGCATGTCGAAACTGCACACGAGTGGACGACGAACATAAAATGTTGTCTGACTCTCGAGCACCGCTTCATCGTATCTCGAGTCTTGGAGAGYTGTTAAATAATATTATTATCGTCACTCAACGGGGCTTAGATTTATCGCAAATTGTCGGGTATCCCTACGGTGCGGTCGATTATTATACCTTCTATATTATTATTATTATTATTATTATTATTATTATTATTGTTATTGCTGTACAATGCACAACTTACCTCCAAACTTACTCCTCTCGCCGGGAGTCTGATCACACACATTGTTTATGGATACCTTGACGGCATTGCAAGCAGACAGTTCATACATTATCTTGTGCCACGGCGGCGGCGGATGAGGCTGTTTGTGCCCATCACGCAATCCTTTTACGTGCAATTCATGWTGTTATTATCACTTTTATTATCGTTATTGTTATTGTTATTGTTATCGAGTAGACGCGGCCATAATAATAATAATAATATATCTATAACGCGTTATATATTATATATACATGCAGAGACGAGGGGCGAAAATCGTTCATTATGAAACCTCTATTAATCCCCCACCGGCGACAACACTATATATAACAAGGGTGGCCAAACTTTTTTTTGTCAAAATATACTTCACCTTTGAGGATCGACTTCCATAGAATTTTTTTTTTTTATTATTGAATAACTATAATTATTAAGAAACACATCACTTGAATAAAGTGTAAACATATACAACACGTATTATAAACTAATTATTAATTACTAAAAATAATAAAATAATAAATAATAATTTCTAAAATCGAATTACTTAAGTCGTATTAACATATTATTTTGTTGGTCTGGGTATTGTTGAGGTGTGRCATTGCATGCCGTTGACATGTAGTAATCTGGCGAATATAGTTGATGACTGATAATCGAAGACGCTATTCCTAATGGTCAATTATATGGGTCCCATAAGAACGTCTAAACTCTAAGGCAGTCGATAGGTTCAGATAAAGAGAATTGTTATATCATTATAAATACCATTATATTAAACCTTTTAGGAAATGTGATTAAGGTTTTGTATAATATATATAATACATTTTTATATTTGGTAGGAACCTACCATATTATTATGATTATAATAATAATAATATAACGAGTATAAAGCATAAACATATACAACCGACAATTTGTATGATATGCTTGTTATAATTTATATTATATTTTAATTCACTTGTCGATCAGCTCGCTAATGATTCGAGGGTTTTTGGTAGAAATACCCATAAAAAGAATTTCATGTGTGCAATGACGAAATCCCTAACGGGGAATACGAAACAAGGTGTRTGTGTGTGTGTATTATAATATAAAATATAATGCATATTATACAACTAGAACTTCAAACGATATCCCATTATTGTTGTTAACCTTTACGAATTATGATTGCTATAAACCAATTTTGTCAAGTACGTATAACTTCAAATACAGCTAAGGCAAGTTGGTGGGAATAGAATTAGTTTCGTCGTACATTGGTTTAAACGTCTGAATAGAATAACTTAATAATCATAAAATGTTGTAAGACGGTAGTCATTGTTATTAATAGTCCATCGTTAGTGGCATATTATTATGATATTATAATCTAATAAAAATGGGCATATCGAGTGGAACAGAATGGAAAATGAAATAAATTTTAATCTAATCAATATTAAATTTAAACTGTTTTCTTTTTAACGTCAAAGATATCATTGAATTTTTTTTTTTTGGAATAATTCCAAGTAAAAAATTTGTAAATCTAAGTTTTTGACAAATTTTGATGGTAAAAACGTTTATTTAGTTCAAGCAGCTTATGTTTTTTTTTTTAAATTTAAACTTCAATTAATATGTTGTTTTTAGGAAAATTAATTCTAAACGTGAATAACAACTTTTTCAAAATATTTTTTTGGAGAGTTTTCTGACATGAGTATATTTTTTAAATTATTTGTTATCCATATAATTTGCATAACCTTTACTAAATATTTAATTAGCTCATATTTTTATTTTTATTTTTGGCCCTTCTGTTATAGGGCTGTATTTAAAATAACTTAAAATATTAAACTTACTCTTGTTATGTAAATATACAAACTGCTTACACACTACTTATAAATAAATCAGTGTTTTAGTTTATAGTGTTGTTCTTGGAACAATTGTTAATTAATTATAATCTACATATAACTAAACTACACTCCACTAAACAAATACCTTTAATTTTAAATTTTATTTTAAACAAAATTAATTAACACAGACTTGTTTAATGTTTAATTTTATATTTTTTATATATTTAGATTATTACTTATTTTAAAAATACAGCGCCTTACTTACGAAATCGTCAAAAAATATTAGTGTCATATAGACAATTTTAATCTAATGACGCTAAATGTATTGAAAAATAATTACTTGAGCATTCWTTARATGTTCTCTTCAGACCAATTCCAAACTTTGTTCTTATCAAAAGATTAAAGTTGAGAGTAATTAAATTCAAAATATGTCAATCGCTAAATTTGCACGCCGCTTTATCAGTTAAATTAATTTGATTTGTGTCCATTTGATGKGTTTAAGATCATTATTAAGGTATTGCAAAGTACGATAAACTGTGAAAGTGATACTGTTAAAGCTATATTTTTTTTGTTTTCTATTTAATTATTAAACTATCGTATTATACCCGTCTGATTCATGGCCTTATGGTTAAATAATATTAAATATAAATAAATTAAACTTTATTTTAATGGTAGTGGTAAGAGCTAATTTAATTACATACTTAAAAGTATGTCGTATGGTTTCTTAATGAATAGCTTAATTATATACCATAACAGTTATTATAAGTTGACAGGTATTTTGGGCTTTTGTAGTTGTATGGTATTTAATGCTGTGGCAATCATAAATATTATATTATAATTAAATAGCAGTAGTAATTACTGTGATTATAGACTTTATAGTGTTGATAATTATCCTTTTTGACGTTTCACAATAAAAAATATTTACTGATATTATTCAATAAGATATAGCCAAATGAGCTGTTCCGTGAATATAATATAAAATTAATTTAACAAATATCGGCCAGTTCCTATACCTACGTTTTGTGTTATTTGGCAGTTGTTGATAATATCAATAAATTAACATAATATGACAGGCCTATGATTTATAAACATAAATAAATAAATTACGTTTTCACGGGGTCAAGGGAGGGAGTGAGTTAGGCTTTATATTGTATTAACACTTCTATAGTAAAAATCTGAAATGATTGAAATATTATTTTTAAATACGATCAAATNGACGTCGAAATGTTTTGATTTACCGACCAATAATATTACTGAAAATTGCAATTTGTATAGCTGTACATAATATAGTATATTAAATGTTTTTAAATCAAATTTGCYGTATTATCTGAAAATAAATTATAGATATTCAAACGTACAMTTTCACAATATTTGRGTACCTACTTGACATTTGAAAAACGTTAGTAATTTTAGACAAGCCAAATTAATTTGTTCCGATAATTACTGCTTTAAGTTTGCGTGTAATTATAGTCTCTTGGAGTATAAGCGTTCAAATTAGTATTAAACACGAAATTAATTTTAAAATAAAAAATAAAAAAAATGTTTATATTTTTATGGCGATGGTAATCTAAAAGGTTATATTTTAACGGCAACGTCGTGTCGAACGTCATTAATATCGTATTCTTTGAAGGTAAAACTCTTGTTATAAACGTGTAACGAAAACACAATTTTGTTTTCGCATAATATTATATTTGCCATTGTATTTTATAATAAAAATAATAAGTAGGTATCACTTAAAATAATAGAAATAATAATTTTTGATGTACACTAACGTGGCAGAAATAATGAAACTGAAATCATGTTTCTGACACGTGCATTTGACGTAGGTTAAAGGTGTACGGTACGGTGGTTTACGAACTCCGTTTATCAATAAATTAATTTTACATCAAACAGTCATTCAAAGAAAACCTTTCAAAGCTATTCTCTCGACGGCGCACAATGCATATAATACACTATATATTATTGTGCATGTGGTATAATATTTATGGTATAAAATTTGTGCTGTACATATATATACATATATATATAACCACAGTAAGTAGGTAGGTTTCTTCTTTTGAATATCGCGCAAGCTCGTGTGACATTTTTAGTGATTTGCGGACGAGACATTTACACACACACACACACATACACACATACAAACACACACCTTTATGAAAATGCGTTTTTCAGACGTACACAACTGCACACCTTTAATAATAATAGGAACAAGAGTATAATAATAAGATGTGGGTCGAACTATGCTGAGGGGGTGACGCTTATTTAAATTTGTGACGACCATTGTCGGCGTCTATATTATTAACTATCAATATATTATGAAGTACATAGACAATAATGTGATGATTGYGGAGCACAGCAAACKGCTAGGATATACGAGCAGGTGGGTGGGGGAGGGAAGCGAGTTTTAACTGTGTCACCGAAACACAATAATAATTATTTAACCGAAAATATACAGTTCGTGGTTAAAAGTGCGCGTGCGGATTCCACGCGTGCTGAGGCATAAAACGTTTCGTCCGTATTCGACAAAATACTATAAACAGCTCATATTGTGTGCGGTGGACGTGACCGGTGCGCGTCCGTTCCGTTATCGCTCGTTTTTTAAATTTTTTTTTTTTTTTACGAAAGTTTGCCAAGACGACAACACTAAATCCGCCCTGTTTTTTCTTTCTCTCGAACGACCAAGTGCTCCGAAAGTTTCGTATATTAATTCCACGTAAGTACTGAACCAGGTGCACAATAATACGTATATATAACAGATCGATGATATCATAAGAACACACATCGATGGTGGTTTATTTTCGGAACGCTCGAATAGTGCCCAATCGAGCATTAAAAAACGGTTAAAATTAAGCCACACTCATTGCGTTATATTTACAAGTGAGATCGATTAAAGTACAAATTTTGTCGTCGTTCCCTGCACTCGGGAAATGACGGCCAACGCACGAGTTGCATATCAAGTCGGGTGTGCTATATACCTTTTTGGATGAATTCCGTCGTCCGAGACACAATTATTTATCGTGTTACCTTTATTAAAAGATAAGCGAGTGGGATGCGATTCGAGGAGAGAATGAAAAGCATTTGTGAGCACCGGGAAATAATAACCCTATATGCGTTCGGAATAAGCAATTATTGTAATCATCATCAACATCAGAATACATAGGTAGGTATATTATTATAATATTATGTATATATTATAAAATATTCCATAAATCATGACGAACTATACGTATAATATTATCTTGCGGAAATAATCAAGTAGGTACATAATAAATACACTAGGCATTCAAGCAATTATTTAATTAACAAACGCTATATGATTGTTGTTTAATTTTTTATAATTTTTTCCATCTCGTATCGCATAATTCCACTCTGTCTCTCAATTTTTTTAAGTTTTATATCTATTTAATCACTAATTATTATCATTATCTTATTCCTCGTATTGATTATACTACTTGTATTGAATTATTTAAAATGTGTTAATTGTCAAATATTATCATACTATTATTGTTATTGATGTTCTATATTGTAAATTGGACATTACCCGTGTAAATATTAATAATTAAATTAATTATGTCCAGCTACAACCGTCTACGGGTTTCTCGCTTCTCATACTATGTTCGATATTTTCAAAAAATCTAAACGTTAAAGCCTCCTGCCCTTGAGATTTACYCTATGATTGACGCGAGTGAAGAAGTTCTCTCGCGGAATTAGTGATATTATTATTATTGTTATAAGGTCTAGTCAAATATCGTTTTATTTTTATTTTTATAAATACATCTAATAACATTAATTACCGGAACTGCAGGTTAAAAATGCAACGTTTGCATGTCGAAACTGCACACGAGTGGACGACGAACATAAAATGTTGTCTGACTCTCGAGCACCGCTTCATCGTATCTCGAGTCTTGGAGAGYTGTTAAATAATATTATTATCGTCACTCAACGGGGCTTAGATTTATCGCAAATTGTCGGGTATCCCTACGGTGCGGTCGATTATTATACCTTCTATATTATTATTATTATTATTATTATTATTATTATTATTGTTATTGCTGTACAATGCACAACTTACCTCCAAACTTACTCCTCTCGCCGGGAGTCTGATCACACACATTGTTTATGGATACCTTGACGGCATTGCAAGCAGACAGTTCATACATTATCTTGTGCCACGGCGGCGGCGGATGAGGCTGTTTGTGCCCATCACGCAATCCTTTTACGTGCAATTCATGATGTTATTATCACTTTTATTATCGTTATTGTTATTGTTATTGTTATCGAGTAGACGCGGCCATAATAATAATAATAATATATCTATAACGCGTTATATATTATATATACATGCAGAGACGAGGGGCGAAAATCGTTCATTATGAAACCTCTATTAATCCCCCACCGGCGACAACACTATATATAACAAGGGTGGCCAAACTTTTTTTTGTCAAAATATACTTCACCTTTGAGGATCGACTTCCATAGAATTTTTTTTTTTTATTATTGAATAACTATAATTATTAAGAAACACATCACTTGAATAAAGTGTAAACATATACAACACGTATTATAAACTAATTATTAATTACTAAAAATAATAAAATAATAAATAATAATTTCTAAAATCGAATTACTTAAGTCGTATTAACATATTATTTTGTTGGTCTGGGTATTGTTGAGGTGTGRCATTGCATGCCGTTGACATGTAGTAATCTGGCGAATATAGTTGATGACTGATAATCGAAGACGCTATTCCTAATGGTCAATTATATGGGTCCCATAAGAACGTCTAAACTCTAAGGCAGTCGATAGGTTCAGATAAAGAGAATTGTTATATCATTATAAATACCATTATATTAAACCTTTTAGGAAATGTGATTAAGGTTTTGTATAATATATATAATACATTTTTATATTTGGTAGGAACCTACCATATTATTATGATTATAATAATAATAATATAACGAGTATAAAGCATAAACATATACAACCGACAATTTGTATGATATGCTTGTTATAATTTATATTATATTTTAATTCACTTGTCGATCAGCTCGCTAATGATTCGAGGGTTTTTGGTAGAAATACCCATAAAAAGAATTTCATGTGTGCAATGACGAAATCCCTAACGGGGAATACGAAACAAGGTGTRTGTGTGTGTGTATTATAATATAAAATATAATGCATATTATACAACTAGAACTTCAAACGATATCCCATTATTGTTGTTAACCTTTACGAATTATGATTGCTATAAACCAATTTTGTCAAGTACGTATAACTTCAAATACAGCTAAGGCAAGTTGGTGGGAATAGAATTAGTTTCGTCGTACATTGGTTTAAACGTCTGAATAGAATAACTTAATAATCATAAAATGTTGTAAGACGGTAGTCATTGTTATTAATAGTCCATCGTTAGTGGCATATTATTATGATATTATAATCTAATAAAAATGGGCATATCGAGTGGAACAGAATGGAAAATGAAATAAATTTTAATCTAATCAATATTAAATTTAAACTGTTTTCTTTTTAACGTCAAAGATATCATTGAATTTTTTTTTTTTGGAATAATTCCAAGTAAAAAATTTGTAAATCTAAGTTTTTGACAAATTTTGATGGTAAAAACGTTTATTTAGTTCAAGCAGCTTATGTTTTTTTTTTTAAATTTAAACTTCAATTAATATGTTGTTTTTAGGAAAATTAATTCTAAACGTGAATAACAACTTTTTCAAAATATTTTTTTGGAGAGTTTTCTGACATGAGTATATTTTTTAAATTATTTGTTATCCATATAATTTGCATAACCTTTACTAAATATTTAATTAGCTCATATTTTTATTTTTATTTTTGGCCCTTCTGTTATAGGGCTGTATTTAAAATAACTTAAAATATTAAACTTACTCTTGTTATGTAAATATACAAACTGCTTACACACTACTTATAAATAAATCAGTGTTTTAGTTTATAGTGTTGTTCTTGGAACAATTGTTAATTAATTATAATCTACATATAACTAAACTACACTCCACTAAACAAATACCTTTAATTTTAAATTTTATTTTAAACAAAATTAATTAACACAGACTTGTTTAATGTTTAATTTTATATTTTTTATATATTTAGATTATTACTTATTTTAAAAATACAGCGCCTTACTTACGAAATCGTCAAAAAATATTAGTGTCATATAGACAATTTTAATCTAATGACGCTAAATGTATTGAAAAATAATTACTTGAGCATTCWTTARATGTTCTCTTCAGACCAATTCCAAACTTTGTTCTTATCAAAAGATTAAAGTTGAGAGTAATTAAATTCAAAATATGTCAATCGCTAAATTTGCACGCCGCTTTATCAGTTAAATTAATTTGATTTGTGTCCATTTGATGKGTTTAAGATCATTATTAAGGTATTGCAAAGTACGATAAACTGTGAAAGTGATACTGTTAAAGCTATATTTTTTTTGTTTTCTATTTAATTATTAAACTATCGTATTATACCCGTCTGATTCATGGCCTTATGGTTAAATAATATTAAATATAAATAAATTAAACTTTATTTTAATGGTAGTGGTAAGAGATAATTTAATTACATACTTAAAAGTATGTCGTATGGTTTCTTAATGAATAGCTTAATTATATACCATAACAGTTATTATAGACAGGTACCTCTATAGCCAAAATAAATTAATTTTGGGCTTTTGTAGTTGTATGGTATTTAATGCTGTGGCAATCATAAATATTATATTATAATTAAATAGCAGTAGTAATTACTGTGATTATAGACTTTATAGTGTTGATAATTATCCTTTTTGACGTTTCACAATAAAAAATATTTACTGATATTATTCAATAAGATATAGCCAAATGAGCTGTTCCGTGAATATAATATAAAATTAATTTAACAAATATCGGCCAGTTCCTATACCTACGTTTTGTGTTATTTGGCAGTTGTTGATAATATCAATAAATTAACATAATATGACAGGCCTATGATTTATAAACATAAATAAATAAATTACGTTTTCACGGGGTCAAGGGAGGGAGTGAGTTAGGCTTTATATTGTATTAACACTTCTATAGTAAAAATCTGAAATGATTGAAATATTATTTTTAAATACGATCAAATGTAGGGAGTTGGAATTCTCGATTATATTATTATTACTATTATTATTATATGGTACCGATTCGTTGCAGACCCGCAAACGCATATCATTGAACTTAGGTCAGATATTAAATTCTATTGTACGCGCTCAGGTCAATAATATATTAGATTATTTTCGAAGGCCTCCGTCCAGACACGTTTGGTTAGTATTCACTGCGATCCGACGACAAATCGAAATGAAAATAATAATATTTCCCTTTTTCGATCCGCTCGTGCAATCGTCATGTCCGTCTCGACAATCATGACCATGATTACCATAATAATAATAATAATATTGAATATCATCACTATCAGTTTATTTGCGGTTTATGTGTGTCTATATTCGAACGAGAATTGTCAAAAATGATGTCATATGATTGGKATGTTGTTTGGTTAATTTACCAATGAACGCATTCAAGGAGATACGCGATTCACGCCGGATAAATATCTCAAAATCGTTCTATAGAAGTACAGCATGAACGGCAGTGTGGCGATGACACAGTGGCCGGAAGGGAAAAAAATTAACCGATTCGGTGACGGTTACTTCAGCCATCTCTCTCGGTTGATTAATATATATAAACTCCATTTTATTCGCTGATATTTTACTTGTTTTGGGGCGATATAAAACGTATATTTTATATAAARTACGCATAGGTATCGTATAGATGCCTTTATTATTGTTTTATATATTTTTATACGATTGACACACTTTTTATGCTACTATAAATATCCAATATTTCAGATATCTTATTCGTATATTTACGATATTTTATTCGTCACTGGTAAACGGTTATAAAATAAATATTATTAGTTGAGTTTTGATGCCGTTTTCGTCATAACGATATTCTGTTACACTGTCTAACTGTATTTTATTGTTCTATACCTGAACATCCGCACGGATATTATGTTATAAATAAAGTCTCAAACACATGTCTAATCTATTAGACAAGTTTATTTATAGGCTGTTACATTTTAGAGATGTAATAAAATATGAAAAATTGCCTACAAGTTATATTAATA